GATGATGTAGCCTCTGTTTTGGAAGAAATTATAAATATTTAAATTATAAATAGAAAAAAAATAAGAGGTGTTGAAATATAATTTTTGTAGGTTCATTAAAATGTATGATTAATATAAGTTGAACAAATACATGAACAAATGTTGAAAGATTAAGGTTAATCCCAACAATTTTATCTCCGAATTACATTCCTTTGATTGAGGGAATTGTTTTCTTTTATTTTTTCAAAAGCTTTGAATGTGGTTATTTTGACCTCTAGATACTATACTGTATGGAATGCATGGTAATTTCAACTCTTGGGGCCTGCTTGGGAGTTTTTTTTTTTTTTTTGTTGCCATTTTGGATTTTTTTTTCGATTTTGGAGGACACCGTTTTTGATGGATTGAAAAATTCGATGCTTGCTATTTTTTGGGAGATGTATTGTAATTTTACCCGGTTTTCTCAACTCCATATCGACAGTTTTGCCATTTCTCATATTTTCTTCTAATTTTACTTTTATAAAATAATAAATTATTTCAACCAAAATATTTTTTTTCAAAACTAAAAAGTTTATTTATAAGCAAAAAAATTACATTACAATTAAAAAAATATTTAGAAGAAAAAATTATTTACAAAATTTTGTTTATAAAGTATATATGTTACTAACAAGAGAAAATTTCATTTATAAAATATAAAAATTACTTATAAGTAAAAAATTTACTACTTGATAAGTCACTTTAGTGTATATTCACAATATAATTAATATAGAGTGCCTCGATAATTCTAAAGAGATAACTTTCGTTGTATATTATGAAATATTGACTAACGATACATTTTGATAAATTTAATATCTTTGGCACGTTGTCTCTTTCTAGTAATCCAAACAAAATTTATTACCGTACACCAAATTTGAGAAATTCATAGAATATATTTAAAAGCAGCAGCCCAGCTCATTGAGAAGGTCCAGCCCAGTTTGAGAATAAATGAGATACAAACGTGTTTTATCCTTTCACGTTTTTCATCTCACGTTTTTTCACTCCTTTTGTCTGTTTTTTAGTTATTACTTTGTTTTCTCTTCATCTATATAAGATGAAGCTTTCAGCCATTGTATTTGGATCTTTGAATGATTAATACAGAAATTATCTTTTGCTTCTTTTGTTCACACACTTATGAACTCTAAAATTGGCACAGGAGATGATTGTGTATCTATAGGCCCCAGCACTTCCAACTTGTGGATCGAAAACGTCTCATGCGGCCCCGGCCATGGGATCAGGTACAAAAGAAATAAACTATTTTTTATTGAATATATATCCAACAATGGATACATATAATATGCATTCCCAATGATTTATTTGCCTGCTACTTGTTGCCGAGTTGATGAAATTTTGTGAAATTTTGCAGCATTGGGAGTCTTGGCTGGGATTTGCAAGAACCTGGAGTGCAAAATGTGACAGTTAAAACAGTTACATTTACAGGAACTCAAAATGGGGTGAGAGTGAAGACATGGGCGAGGCCAAGCAATGGATTTGTTAAATATGTTCTTTTCCAGGATGTTGTCATGGTTAACGTTGAAAACCCAATAATTATTGACCAAAATTACTGCCCCGACGACCACAAATGCCCTGATCAGGTTAGTTACTCTTTGCTATTGGGATAAATCGGAGGGAACTCGTTCCCAAAAAAATCTCAATGCATTTACACAATTAACTAGCAAATTACTTCTGAAAAAGGGTCTTAATTTTTTTTTTTTTTTCAGGTTTCAGGTGTGAAGATTAGTGATATAACATATCAAGACATACATGGAAGTTCGTCAACAGAAATTGCAATGAAATTCGATTGTAGTAAACAATATCCATGCAATGATGTTACATTGGAAGACGTTAACCTGACTTGCAACAATAAACCAGCTCAGTCGTCATGCATTAATGCCGATGGGAAGTCTTCCAGTTTCGTTCAACCAAATAGCTGCTTGTATAATTAGAAAATTATTTAGAGGACTCGTACTTCAGTACGAATATAAATTATATATGGAAAATCTAGACTACCAAACAAAGAATGAGTATACAAAAAAAGTGTATTTGATACTAAAGTTTTCATATTAGTAAAAGTGAAGAAATAAATCTTATACATGTTCTTACTTGATATCCAATTACTCTATAAATATTAATTACTACAAGTAAATTTGCTTTTAATGACAATAATTTTCAATATATTTTATTTGCTTAATATAAACGATAATACCACGGTAAGGATGATGTCAAGATTAACTATTTTACAAGTTGCCTAACTGAATATATAAGTCAAGGGCGGTGCCAGAATTTTGGTCTAAAGGGAGCAAGACCTAAGTAGGAAAACTTTTTTCGACCAATACTATAGTGTCGTATTCAAAACAAAATATTTTCCACATTCGTAAAATGAATAAAATGTGGGTTTTAATAGGAAAATATATTTTCATAAGTTCCTGTGGATTAAACACAGCAAATTACAATTTCTAATTAAATCCAACAATCTTGCTATGTTGCGAAAGAACTTTGCCACATTCCTTGATATAATGTCACATGACATTCTGTCATTGAATTATTTTAAAAAGGGTAAATTTTTACATCCAATTGTACGCTGCCAACACTGCATCCGTCAACTAGGTGGGCAACATTTTTTGGTAAAATGGCTCAACTCTAAATCCAAACCAATACATGTAAAATCCAGAAGATTTAAAGTTTTTAAACATACTTGACCATTAAATTTAGCACGGTGAAGTAGGGTCTTACCAAATGGTCTTCTACGAGAGAGAAAAATCGGGTTTCAAGAACATAATATTCGAAATTCTGGTCAGTTTAATTTTTGGAACTGTGGACTAATTCATTTATAAGCAAGAAATTTGGTTTGTAATAAATATTCTTGAACAAATGGGCTAATTATTTTAGTTTGCAAATTTTATTTCCAATATTTTCTTCATTTTTCGGTTGTTGGATTAGATATGTAACAATTATGGAAATATATTTTAAAAGTATCAATTTCCTAAGGAATAAAAACATGACTTCAACAATCATAACTATTTCAATACAGATTTTTCAAAAAAAAAAAAAGAAGAAGAAGAAGAAGCTCATTTTAATGAATGTCAAAAGGAAAAACAAAATTTTCTGTTATAGCCAATCTCAAATCCAAGTAAAAGAGAAGAGTAGCGAGTCATAATCCAGAAGATTTAATGTTTTTAAACATACTTGACCATTAAATTTAGCACTGTGAAGTAGGGACTTAGCAAATGGTCTTCGAGAGAAAAATTGGGGTTCAAGAACATAATATTCGAAATTCAAGAACCAACTTGCAGATTAATGACCAGCAATTGGTTTGTAATAAAAAGTTTTAATCTATTGTGTTGATTTTTTAATTAGAATTGATATGGGGAGAACATGCCTAATTCAGTTTTTTTATTTTTATTTTTTTGCATGAAGAAATGGTATTGCATTCTGATATAAGATAAACCTTTTATTGTTGATAAGAAATCACCTGCCGAAAACACTGCATGAATTCAAGGAAGAACATGCCTATGTCAACATTTCTTAATTTTTATTCTTTTAATAAATATTCTCGAACAAATGGATATTATTTTCTCAACTAAAAAAAATAATGGACTTTTGGAACAATCAATTTAAGTTTGTAGGCAGAAAAACTCGCCAATGATTTAGCTCTTAGGAGGGGGCCAAGATACAAATTTACTGTACCTGATGTGATCCAAGATACGAGAGCAAGTCCAGGCAAGGAGTCATTGATCATTGAGGGAGGACCCATGAATAGGTCACGAGCGAAGCGAGTCAAGGAAGTTATGAGATTGTTTGTTCAATCTATGGTAGACGAAACATCGGACATAACAAGCAAATGATCAAATTTCATGTCGAGTTTGGAAGAAGAAACGAGATGGATCAATTTGGTTCAAGTAGCGGACGAGGAAGCCGGATGTAACAACTATGCGACCACATAGTTGTTAAGCATGCCCTTTTTCCGAATCTACACAGGGCCAGAAATGGTATATGCTTCCACATAGGCTTAAACTATGTGGTCGCATAGTATAATACATGACACGAATATTCCAAATTTCGTGTAATCTTCTATTTAAGTTAAAACTCTATTTTTTGTTATCTTTTGCTATTTTTTTAAGCTTAATTCCGTTTTTAGTTAGTTTTTATGAGTTCCCTATAAATAAGACTCATTATATTCATTGTAACAGGCAATTTATTAAGAGATTAATTGAGAGGCACATTGCTTTCTTCTTGTTCTTTATCGAGCTAATTGTGAACTTATTAAAAATATATTCTTGTGACGTTCAAACAAAAATCGAGTGAGATTTTTGAATCTTGTAATCAGAGATTGTCCGTGATTGTGTTGGTTCATTGATTCACCATTTTTTAATCAAACTTAAAACATTGATTTTCTGGCTTTCTTAGGTTGAATCAATCTTGTGTTGGTTTCATAACTACCATTGTTACGTGGATTTGTATCAGAGCCTTTCAAAACTTCATCAATTCAAATTGTAACCGATGATGCTAACAGCAACATGATACATATCATAAAACCATGAAGTAAAATTATGACGATAATTATCCATTATTTGAGGGCTCATTTCTTGTTTCAGTCACTCTTTTCTTTTTTGCAAGAGCAATGCATGTGATTAATTTGACCTCTACATAAACAATACTAATTACATGGCCTACCATTTGGCAATGAATAGGCCATTTGGCAATGAATGTTGGCAATTTATAGCCACTCCCAAAACCAATTAAATAAGAATTATGGACAAAGTTGACAAATGATAGCTTATCACTATGTATTTGTCTTTTAGACTTTTGCACACCTAATAAAATAAGAATTAAAGTGTTCTGCCTATATTACGGTTAATTCAGTTAGCGAATTAGGCATAATTTTCATCCACTTCAAAAAATCCATTGACCTTTTACACAACTTTCGAGAAATGCACTTGAGATTCATAGTTATTAGCTTAATGGATTAAACAGGGCTAACGACGAGGGCTATTTCGGGTGTTGAAATGACATATTTTGATTGACAATTTTTTCTTTATTTATTTTTTATTTCTCAATGAAATTTTATCGACTGTATATATGTATAAAATTTTATCATTGACCATGTTCATATAGCATATCTGTTAGCTTAACAGCTTAGGTCATCACAAATATTAGGTATATTTGGTAAGTTAGATCCATTATTCAAGTAATTAGAATTTCGATAACTATAAAAAGAACTTTCTATGATCATTGTCAATTTCAAATATCTGATTTTCAATATCAAAATAGATAGAATAGTATTATCTAAAAAACATGTTCCTAAATGTCATTAAGAATTTATTGATTGACAATGAACAAATGCATTAATAATTTCTTTTATGAAAATTGGATTGCACTATTTAGAGATTATCGGCACCCGCCAACTATCCCCTACTTTGAGAAACAATCGTTCACAATACAAGTCAAAACGTAGTACTAATAAAGCTAAAATTACAATTCCTTGTCATATAGTAGTGGAGGCCACCAAGTTACTTTTTTTTTTTTTTGGCTTTTGGTGGTTTGCCATTCACACAGAGTGAACTCACTAAGCTCCATGTTGATAGTAATTTGTACTTTCCACCATTGCTCAAATGTCTGGCCTCCTTGAAACTCAATTATAGTAAAAACTAAGACCATATTATATCTCTATTTAATATCAATTTAAGACTTTGACAACACTTACTCGGACTTGAAAATCAATGTTCCCAATTTATTCAATAATCACTCTCGAGTAGAATTAAATATATCCTTACATATGACCCTATTATATCTCTATTAATGATGCGGGTATATGAAATGCATTAAATCACAAGAACATTCTTAGATGATCCAAAGCATAAAGCATTACAATAAAGTTTACTTTTTACGGCGTACATATGAATGCCGTATAAAGTTATATGGTAAATATCACATCTTCTTATGACATGCATTACATGCCGTAGAAAATATAAAGAAATGGGGGAAAAAGGAAAGCACGCCATTAAGGAACTTTTCACAACCTCCAAAAGTACGTCGTAAATACTTTTTAACTTTTTTTATGGTGTGTAAATGCATATTATGGAGATAGTAATACACCCAACATTAGTATCGGTTGATCAATTTTTTGATCAAATTGTGGAGATCTGATATTTTCTTTTCGAAAAATTAGGAAAAGTTTGGGTTCAAAATAAAATAAAAACTTTAGAGGCGAAAGTAGCATTCCCTTTTGCATTATAAAAAAATCAGAGATAAAGTTCAACTAGGGGCAGATGTAAAGTTTGGAGGGAAACAATACAAAAATCCAATTTATATATTATTGAAAGAATGTTCCAAGGGAATGAATAAAAGTATAGTTAAAAATATAAATCACACTTAGATGACAAATATATTTGTGTGTGTTGGGGACTAGACACCAATTGATACTAACATAAACTGATTAAAGTCCGACAATACAAAAAAAATGCGGTTTCAGAGATGGAATTATGTGTCGCTGAAGTCCCGAAATCCGTTGGCAATAACCTTTAGAGACAGTATTCATCCGTCAGTAAATCCTACGGTAAACACCCTGCCTGTAAAATGAGCAATAAATTTATATTAGCCGTCGGTAATAGCGACGGAAATAAGGTGTCGCTGTCGTAGCTAATTGGTGATGAAAATTTAGTTGCTGATTTGTTTGTGATTGACGACGGTTTAATTACTTGTTCCCAAAATCGCTACGCATCTCCTGTTCTTGTTTCTGTCCCCAAGCACCAACATATTTTCCTACAACACTAATTGTTCCTAAATAGCTAAGAATCTTCCGTTTTTTCCCCGTCACTAATTACCAACACATTTTCCTATGGAAATAATTATTCCTAAATAGCTACAAATATTTCATTTTTGTTTCCGTCGCTAACTACCAACATATTTCATACGAAACTATTTGTTCCTAAATAGCTACGAATCT